AAAGTCAGAATTCTGACTTTTTTCCCCATGTTAAAGTGAAATAAAATTAAACTTTTTTTTTTTTTCCCAGTGGCCCTAATCCTCTTCCGTAAATTTGTAAACATCAATATAAAACGAAGAAATAGAAAGAATACCATTTGAAAATAGGGAAGTAAAAAAGATGAAAATAAAAAAATATGAAAAAAGAACATTTGAGAAAACAAAAAAGTTACTTTCAAAACCTATTGTGACTATGAAGTTTTTTCAAGGTTTAATACTGGAAATACTTTTTTAAGTTTCCATTTACAGAAACTGCTTTTTTTCTCTTCAAAAACAATAATGGAACAAAATTCACTCCATACTGAATGATTACTGAGATTCTTCTGGTTTGTGTTCAATACAAACCTGAGTCCCTCCCAGAACGGAAGGAAAAAAAACCTGAAGGACAAGAAGATTCAGGAGAGACAAGCAGCAACGAGCCCAAACTTGTGGGAAGAAGCAGATCGGCCCAGATTACTGGGAGGCTCAGAGACGCACCAGTTTGGAGTCTCCACAGGAGACGGATGTGTTCCCATAGCCGATGTTCCGGATGTGTCCCATCAGCTCCAGCAGCCACTCCATTCGTTTGGAAACACCTGGAAGGAAAAGCAAACCTGGCTCCATCAGGCACTGGTTCAGCTTAGCGTCACACCTGCAGGTTTTCCCCGCTGACCTGTAGCGGCGCCGGCAGCCAGGCGGCACTGGTACAGAGCCTGCAGGAGGATCCAGCCCACTCTGCAGCCGGGCCAACCCCGCAGCACCCCGCCGATCACATCGTTGAGGCTGAGGAGGGGAACCCTGCCCTGAGAGGTCAGGTACGCCAGGACAAAACAGGTCTTCTCCATCTGAGCCTGAAGGAACCAGAGAGGAGCTCAGCTTCATCCCCATCGACGCCGCTTTTCATTTAATAACAGACTGCAGAAAAAAAAACCCGACCTGCGAGACCTGAACGATTCTGTCGATCTCTGTGTCGGACATCTCAGAAAGACACCTGGCGACGCCCACGTACAGATCCACCTCTGCATCCTGCAACAACAACATGCATCACCGACTATTATCAATTCAATTCTATTCAGTTTATTTCTATAGCTCCAATTCCCATCATGTCATCTCAGGTCACTTTCCAGTTCAC